TATATATATATATATATATATATATATATATATATATATATATATATAATTTTCAACTTCACAAGATAAACTGAAAATAAACTCGTGGTTTTGGTTGTAATATGGATAAAGCAAAAGTAAAGATTAATGTAATTTTGTTTAGAGGGATAAGACGCATTTCGACAGAAAATTATTTTTAAATGTTATTTTGAAACAGGACGTAACATGATCACCCACTGTCGTGGAAAATGTGACTGATTCCTGCCTCCTGCAGTGCTCTGCTTCCTCTAAAACCAGGCGGCAAAAAGGGGGTTAAAGCCTAAAATGGCTACCACACCCCCCTCCTCTTCCGCATCATCCTCCTCCTTCTCCTCTTCATCCTCATCATCACCAGCAGCAACAGCAGCAGCATCATCATCACCTCCGAAGCCCATCCCCTAGCGTCGGTCCGGGGAACGCACCCTGCATGCGCAGGGGCGGAGAAACTGCCGCTGTGCGCTCGTATTATTCTACGAGTAATTTCTCCTTTTTTTTTTTTTTGTTTTTACGAAAATGGCGTCTGGTCAGGGAGGTGTAGGAGCTGTCACTGCTCTACAAAACCATGACTGCCCCAGCGGACCCCACTGGAGCCCGGGTGTCAACCAGTACCACCACCAACAGCAGCACCACCAGCAGCAGCAGCAGCACCACACTGCCCGCAGCCTGGACCGGGCTCTGGAAGATGCCGTGAGCTCAGGGATCCTGAACCTGAGCGGCAGGAAGCTGAGGGAGTACCCGGGGATCAACTACGATCTCACCGATACGACACAAGCAGGTGAGTCGCTGTTCTGGAGCCTGCGGATCCAAATCAGAGCGGTGGGAGGGTCATGAACGCAGCATGCTCGCTTTGTGCGTGGGTTTCTGCTCCCCTTTTTTTTATATTTTTTATTCTTGGATAGGGGCGCAGCCTCTAAATGGGGGAAGCTGGACTGACTTGTGTTAAACCTTAACATCTTCGTTGTATTTACCGTCCAGTGGGTCATATATCAGACCTCTGCGCTCCTCCGCGGACTCTGTTGAGTGCCTTCCCCCCGACGCCAGTAGCTTTCATTATTATATCTCCCCTGGAGACATGAATGAGACGGCAGGCGCACCCAACAAGCAGGCGCTTGTGCAGCGCTTTGGACTGAAGGCTCAGTTCATTTTGCACCAGGAAGCAAATTATGAATGAACCAAGTTACACATTCCTAGCACGCTTCGTATCCTTTGTGCGATGCATGTGGCACTGAGGGTGCTTCTTCGTTTTGGGCAGACAAAAGATGAAGGGTACTCAGAGCCTCACCCCTCTGGCTGCCTGCATGCCTTTGCTGATATAGATCCATAAATTTTTAGAATGTGCCAAACAGAAAGAGGGGAGCTGGTCTGACTTTATATTTTCTCTAGGCTTGTTCATTAATGGTTTCTGCCTGAAAGGTGACCTTATGCTGCAGTCAGGTCAGTCAGTAGGTCAGTCACGTTCTCTTATTGCTGTGTTAGTAGAGCCATAGCACACATACTAAGTTTTACTTGGCATTCAGGGTTTGCACTGGGCTTCTGTAGCGCTGCACATGAGAGCCTGACGGGAATGAGATTCTCAAGGTAGGATAACCTTGAGTAAAAATACCTAGATTTCATGGTGTTTAGTCAGAGATTTATCAACAATTTGCATAATACAATCTAATAGGTTTGGTTTTCAAACAAAAAAGCTGAATTTATTCCTAATTATGTTATCTGTAAGTAGAGATGGGCCAATAGAAAATGGATAATTTTTCGTCTGATTGATTGATTCATTGACTTTTTCAGTTGGTGGTAAAATTTGCATTATAAATGTAGACAAACAGAAATTAAATTTAAAAGTATTGACATAAATTAGAGCCTGGAAAGTGTAAGATAAAGTGCACGGTTTCTTTTTACTGTACCAAATACAAATACTTTGACGTCATTTTGATCACCTCTGCTCAAACACGGAAAAAAATCTCATTAAATAAGCAAAACTTAAGATAGTCTTCATGAAAATGTTTATTACAAAACATTGTCAGTCTTTATCCTTGTTATCCAGAAGACGCTGACTCTCACAGTGAATGTCTCGTCCTCTGATGTGTCCACCTGCCATATGGCGACACTTTATCATCAGCGGCTTATTCCTCTGACGAGCCCCTGGCCTGCGTTACACCCCTCTGCCCCAGGGAGTTTGTCGAAGCAGGGTTTTTTTTTTTTTTTTAATGACACATCTGAAGTCAAAAGAAGCACCAGAAGCTGTATAAAAAATAATGAGCTTCTGACGAGAGCAGGAAAATTAGCTTCAAGATTTAGTGAAATATCTCTTTTTATTCAGAGGCTCCGATTGGCTTTGTTAACTATTTCTCATTCCAGATTGGAACAAGAAGAGAGAATAAAGTGACTCTCAAAGGCCTGCATTTTGTCTAAAACGCTGGGTGTTTTGTTCACCATGCTGTTGTAACAATGAGCTCATTTTGATCTAAATCCAGACTTATGATTGTCATCTGTTATCTCCAGAGCATGGCATATTCCAGGTATGAAAATCAGAGATATAAACAGACATTTTCACGCCTGTAAAGCCTCTGCTTTCCATAGAGCCTAATCCAGCGACAGAGAAAACTGCTGTGTCTTTACTTTCATTTCATGTCAGCGTGTGTCGGTGCTCTGAATAAAGGGTTGTGCCAGAGGGAAGTCACACTTTCACTTGCACAAAGACATCAACGCCGCCCTGTATGTCAGCAACAAAAGGTGTTACATGCCTGCATTTCAGACTAACTGATGAAAGAAACTCGTTTGCATCTAATCTGAGAGAAGTGATCGCTTTAATTGTTCTCCATCTGCAAACAAACACGTTGCTCTTAAAAATGAATTGCTTTAACTTCAGGTCCTCTTTCAACAGCTGTAATATGCGTCTGTTTAACCTTAACTCTATTATGACGTGTTTTGTTTTACTTTAAAACATGGCTGCTCCAGAAACTAACAGGCGACCTCTGTAGGTCAGCCTATCAGCTGGAGCGGAGAGGCTATCTGACACATGAGTGCCTGTTTGCTGTGCGCAACTAGCAGTTTGTTGCCACTCAGTTTGTTTTCCCATGAGAAAAAGCAGCAGCTCTCTGTGACGCTGCCCTCAGCTTGTGCTGTGGTGCAGGACAGCAACACAACAAACAGGCCAGATATTCAGGTTAACAGAACAAGCTTACACTGCTTTGATGCAGCATTATGATGAATCACAATTGTCACTGCATGTACAATGTTGGTATTAAGAAGAATGGAAAAAATGAAGAGCCCACTCCTCTGAACCCCATTGAAAACCTCCTGGTTATTCCACCAAATGTTGATTGCTGAACTGAGTTAAAACATTAGTTTTGTTGTTTCTAAGTTAATATGAACTTGTTCTCTCTGCGTTATTTGAGGTGTGAAAGCGCTGCGTCTTTTTTTTGTGTTATTTTGACTATCATTTTCTGCAAATAAATACTTAATTTTGCTTGGAATTTCAGAGACATGTTGTCAGTAGTTCATAGAATAAAAGAACAATGTTCATTTTACTCAAACATTTACCTATAAAGAGGGAAATCAGAGAAACTGGTCATTTTAAGTGCTCTCTTAATTTTCTCCAGAGCTGTGTTTGGTTGGATGGCCTTTTACTGGCTTTGATCCAGATGCTAAACATTATAAAGAGTTTTGTGAGTTTACACAACCACCTAGCACAAAGAGTGCTGGGGAGTTTGTTTTAGTCTACAGTTGGATAGAGAGCATCTGTAGACATCAATTTTCAAGCCTTTACCACATATTCCAGCACATAAATATGTTTTGATATGAACCGTCTCTTTATGATTGTAAGACTTTAAGTCTTTTGTCTCTAACAAGTTTTCTGTTAGTATTGCCTGTACTTGGCTTCATCCAACTTCCCTCCAACTTTGATCAAATTTGTGTTGTGCACATCTGATAACTACAAAGGAAACAGACTGACTGCACAATTATACACCATTTTGTGTTGGTCTGTCACATCAAAATCCAATAAAAACATTAAAGTTGGTGATTGTGACACAACAAAATGCGAAACGTACTTTTTCCCGACTGACGGAGAGTGAGGTGCATGGTTTGCATTCAAGTTTATAGAGTAGAACAAATGCCAAGTAGTACATTATTAAATGCACAGTATATAACTAAAAATGGCTTATGATAGAGATTGTTGTTTGGGTAACACTTTATTTGAAGGAGTGTGCATAATACTGTCATAAACATGACATAACATCTGTCATGAACATGAAGGAGTCTTCATGAATGTCTATGACTATTAATGGAAGTTTTAGTACAACTTTGCATTAAAAGTGTCATTATTGGCAGAGTGACACTTCATGATAACAGTCAAACATTAATGAAGACTCCTTCATGTTCATGACAGGTGATATGTTTATGACAGTATTATGCAAATAAAGTGTTACCTTAGTTTGTAAACAGAATCCTTCTACATTTAGAAAACCTCTCAGCCTCCTTTTATATGCCAAGGTTTTAAAATTAAACCAATAGTGAAATGAATGGGAACGAATTAGGAAGAGTGTGATTTTTTTTTTTTTAATCATCAAATGAGGGAGTTTGCTTCAGGGGTTTCACAGCTACAACAACATGTTTTGTTGAAACAGATGTGCTTAGCTTATGTACCTTTAATTAGTGTGGAGTGAACAGAGTAAGTCCCACAATGTGTCGTCACCACATTCCTGAGATCTTGGAATCTTGAAGTTTGACCTCTGCACAAGGTCACGAACCAGGCCAAATTCCTTAATTTAATAATCAACCCATGCAAACACTGTGAGGGCCTCTTATCTGCAAACAAAAGAATAAAAAAGGCCGAGCCGTAACACAGGGCTCTGGGAAACCTGGCTGCTAAAAACACAACAGGATTCAGTCGAGGGTTTAATCTTCAGGACTCATTCTGAGAGTTATAACTTCAGGTACTGCTTTTGTTTTCAGAACTGAACTTATTTTAGAAATATAAGCAATTATTTTTTTTATAGGTATAGATAGTAAATTGTTCAGTTGAGATTTTTTTATTACAAATTAAAATAATATCACGTTTTGTATTTGCGGTGGACTGGCGACCTGTAAAGGGTGTCTGCCGCCTCTCGCCCACTGACCCTGAGCTACCAAGCTAGTTGTTTTTTTTTTTTATACTGACATCAAAATTTAACCATATTCCATTAGTCTTCAGATGAGTGGTCCTTTAGTCAGCAGTGACTTCATATGTTGTATTATTTACAGCGCTTGAGGCAGAAAAATCATATTTCAAGAGCTTGTTGGAGAAGAAAATCTAAAATATACCTTTGTTTTAGACCTTGGTGTAACATTTCATTAATGGCTCTCATGTTACAGCAGCTCTGATTGATTCTATCGTCTCAACGACAGGAGGAGTATTGAGGTCATGGTAATATATTACAGAGCTAACCTGTGCACTGGTCGACTGATAAACAAACCACTAAATGTTTAAAAATGATCTGACATTGATGAGTGAGAACCATTACGGAAAGATTAGACAAAGAGTGAATAAGTGTCATTGCTTTTACTTGCGTTTGACGCGAGTCTCATGTATCCAGCCATAAATCCTGGCTTTTAATCAGTCATATTGGTGACAGATGGTCTGTTGATTTTTTTTGCCCAAAAATAAACAGAAACATTAGAATTTTACTGTCAGAACAAATAAATAATAACAGATCCACCATTTTTCCAATTCAATTAAAAAATGTTTAGAACGAGACGCAGTTTCTTTGGCATCGGTATTTTACGTCTTCTTTATGTATGAAGCATTTCAAGTTCAGATTCTTAAAAGAACTAGCTCATTTTACATGTGAAAAATTATTTATTGATTATATTATTGATAAAAACTGCAATGATAAAACCAGTTGCAGTAATTCCATGGTTCCTCCTCTATCATCTATTCTATTCCATCCAAAAGGCTGAATACCTTGTTGGCATGCAAAATGTGCATTAAGTTTCTTAGAATAAACCAGCTGATAGTTAATGCGTGGCAAGCTGTTCTTTGCGATATTAAAAGTGGGACAAGACGCAGTATTCTTGTAGTTCTTATGGCTACCGTAGCTGCAACTCTGCAGATCTACAAGTAGGTGCTTCTGTTCCTTTAAGTTTTGAGTGAGCTACTCATGCATGGTCACATAATCCCTTTACAGTCCTCGCACACTTTCAGGAAAGCATTGCAGCTGATGAATAATAAAGATTTTGCACAAGTGCTGCTGTGACAGTCTGCTAAATGTTTTGAATTGGGCTGGATTCGGAGACATGTGGGAATTGGTGTTCTTAGTCTGCAGAGTTTCGTGTTCAGCCTATATTTTATTCCTTCACATGCCCTCGAGCGCTTACAGACTCTGGATTAGAGAAAAGATGAAAATCTAGAAACGGCCTGAAGGCAGCTAAATATTTTACGAAGTGTGCTTGAAGTATTTGATCTGGACATGAACCAAGTTAATGTGTGACTAACACAACAAATGGAATATTTTCAGTCAGATGGATATTTATTTTACACTTTGTCAGTCAACCGGACCACAAAATGAGACCTATTTTGGATTCTTATGATTTAAACTATAGTCCCTCGAACTGATTTCTGCTTTAAAGAATCTGTAAAAAGTAAGCAGTCCAGTGTTAACCAATCAAATGTGTGTTTTGCTTGTATTCCTGTCTTTGACTGTGGTTCTTTTGATGCATTAAAAAGTCTGTTTTTTGTGTTTGTGCAAATGTGTTTTTATGAATGCCAAACTGTGTTTTAATAAACACACTAAGTGTTGAACCATCAGAGAACTGACCAGATGAAATCCAGAGTCCTTAAAACGTCTAACCACTGAGGTACGCAGCTGTATTTTCTTCCAGTTCTTACTGTTCTTACTGTGTGCATGATACGTGGAAACACCCACTCCACAGTGAGTGAACGTGCTAATAAGCAATACACGGCATCCTGAAGGTTCATCATTTTTTTGAGCAGCCCCCTGACACAGTGGCCCCATAGACAAAGACCCATATTACCAGTAGGAACAAAAGCAACTGGATACCAGAGAGACAGGCTGGTCACTTCTGCTGTAGGGTCCTGACAATTAACCACAGGTTAATTATTCTGTTTCTTTCCGTTAGGAAGTTTGTGCCTTCACTGTTCAATATTAATCTGTTACCTCTTCCTAATCCCTTTTTAGGTACTTCATAAAAAAGTAATGCTTGTTGTCATTTAGCTTCCTTTAAACCTTGATAGGATATCTCTTAGTGGAGATTCTGCTGTGTCACAGGAAGGAAGGGTATTATCTGCACTCCCAACCCTAATGAATGTATTGCCGATGCAGCGTAAAGGGTGCAGCGGAGTGGATCCGTGATGGAGTGCTCCTCTGCCTCATAGGCTTTGTCCTGTGGGAGCTCTGAGCAAACCAGCAGGTGGATTAAAGACCCGCTGCGGCCTGCAGATGGTGCACAGTCTGGAAAAGGAGGAGACAGAAACGCGCGTACAAAAGACCCCTGAATCCCTCCTCCCGTATCGTGCTATCATCAGCCCTCATGATTCCAGTGCTAAGCAGGAATCCCCAGTTGTGGGGCAGGTGGATAGTCTGTGTACAGCTGCGTTACATCATCACAATGAGAGCCTCAGGGAGAGGCTGCAGCCACTCTTAATGGAGAGCGAGCGTACCCCATGACCTCCCATTAGGTGTTCCTCCCTGTGGTAATTTCTGTTTCCTTTAAGCTCTTCACTTGCTTTGTCTTTGCTCTACTGACTGCGCCATCGCTCGCTTCTTCCTTCTGCTCACCGGTTGCTGTTAAGAGTTCAGGTCTGAGAGGTCTGTGAATATATTCGCTGTTAATTAGTGGTGAGGGTTTCTAAATTGATCAAATCTTGTTAAAAAGTGAAGCGAATCCAAACCAAACTAGAGCGGTTGCTTTTAGCGCACACAGCCTGATTGTCTAATAAAGTGGTAACCACATGTAATGACTGGTTTTAAGACGATGGGAGCGCTGCAGTCTTTACTCGTTCAGTAGAAAGGATGGGGGTCTTCTGTGTGGTGGGACAGAATAATTGAAAGCTCTCTGTTTATCTGAGGCCACGCAGCTCTTTGCAGAGGGTTTCTAATTATCTTGTCAGCCGGAGATAATTCAGAAAATAAGATTGTTCACGCGCTTGTGCACTTGTGCACTTGCGCACACGCACACGCACCCAAACCCACACTTCTACCCATTAAATCAATGTTTATTGGAAGGTGAATGGAAGGAATCCTGTTTGGATGGATGCTGCTGTAAATGGAAACAAGTTATTTGTGTATGTACAAGACTGTTTATGGAAATATCTTAGGTGATTTGGGAACCTTGAGAAACAACACAGGCAGCAGAATAATTTTCTATTTAATATGGTGGTATTTACATGATTTATTCTATATCTCACCCGATGACTGTTTCCCTCACACCTATGACCCTGCAAAGATAAGAGGGCATATAGACAATGACTGGAAGGAAACATAAATTAGCTTATTCTTCAAACCAACTATCTGTTCTTCACTTTTACACAAGGACTGAACTGAGTTTAATAAAATTGATTAAGCACTGGGAATGGCTTGAATACTGGTATCAAGGTTTAAATTCCTTCAAAGACGAGGTCAGAGAATTGTAGTAATATATAAATATATATGCTAGCTTGCTAGCTTATTAGCTAACTATTGTTTTAAGATGATTGCTTGCAGTGTATGGCAGCCCGCACACACACAATCCTACTACTATTATGACTACTATATAATTATTGAATATCACTGGATATAAAGTGGAGGACAATTTGAGTTATCTTAACTCAAATTGTTTGTGTCACAAGTGGAGCTGATGTGAATTCCACAGTATCTTGAGCCTTGAAATGCTAATTTAAAAAAAGGACACAGTGATTTGTAAATGTCTCTTTAATCGGCATTATTAGCTTGTTAAAATTCAGTTTCGTTTGTTTTTCTCTGCCTGTGTTACCAAAATGAAACTGCAGTGGCTTAAACATTTACTTTATGTTATTATGATAAGGTTCAGTCAGCATATGAAGATTACTGGCTTATTTAATCTAATGCAAAGCAATCTGGAGTTGCAAAATCAGCTGACTAACAACAATCTTCTCTCTCATGCACAGCTTCCCACAACACATATTCTCTAATTTAGCCATCACGGAGGGAGCTTGTTTCCTTCTGCAGATCTGCTGACTCAAATTGATGATTTTTATCTTCTTAAAGGAGCAAAACCTACTGCAGACTGCAGGAGGTTCTTCCTTTAATGCTTGTGAGAGTGAGCAAAAATAAATTAATATCAGCAATCACCTCTCTATTACCTGTACTTAAAGGCAACACATCAAACAGCCCTGTCAGATCTGACCAGGCCATTTGACTTAATCCTACTGGGATTGGATTGTAGACCCACTATCTCCATTGCAGCATTACAGGTAACAGCAGCAGCTCAGCCTCAGGCCTCAAATGTAAAACAGATGTGCAGGAATACAGTTTTTAAAGTATTGTTTTTGTAGAATGTGGTTCATTGATATATGCATTATTTTTTTCAGTTCTACTTTTCTTTGCAGTCGTTAGCATTGTGTATGGTGTTTACATACATCCTTTGCTAGCATAAATATACTAGTTTTGTCTACTATTTTTGTTGTACAACAAACAACTTCAACAAATTGATTTTAATTTTATCCACAGCAGACATATTCTCCATAAAACAGTTTAAAATGATACACAGAGTAAAATATTTACATACATACGAGAAAATGATCGGATTAATTTCCCTTTGCTATTACCATTTGACATTACATACTTTTCTAGCTGCCGACAAGGTTCTTGAAGAGTTGTAGCTGAATATTAGAGAATATTTCTTGCCAGAAACTGAAGAGCTCATTTAAGTGATTTCATTTCTGACACTGATCTAGCTTTCTGGCACACTGGTCTGCTGCGTAAAGTTTGCACGTTCTTCCTGTGCTTGCTTGGGTTCTCTCAGTTCTCACAGTCCAAACTAACTGGTCTTTCCAAATTGGACTGGTGATCTGCTTAGAATACCTTGCCTCTTTCCCAGTAACCGCTACAGGCAGGCACCAACCCCCAGTTACTCTGCAAGACTGAGCTGATGTAGCCAATTGATGGACTGATGGATGTGCAATCTATGGGTTGCACATAAACATTATGGGTTGGGCTCTGTTTACTGTCAGACAGGCGCTTTAAGCAAATTGAACGTTATGATTAAGAAGAAAGGCCTCCAATTTCTTTAGCTTTACCACAAATGATCAACTCAACAGTACACAATAGACCTGCTGCTTTCCAACAAAGAAAAAGACTTCAGCTCCAGTCTAAGGCTGTGAGCCTCCCAGGTCAATGATAGAAGCGCTGACATGTTACAGCCGTAGCAGCACTCAGACAGTCAAAGCTTCAGACTCCTCTGTAATTTTAGACCATTGTTCGATGAAGCAGACATGTTAGCCACTGCTCTGTCACAGAGATGTATTGATCTGTCTTTCTACCTCGTGGCCTCTTGGGTTTAAATCAAACACTAGGGATGCTGCCTGAACCATAAAAGGGCTTTTATGGGTATCCTACCTCTGCATGTTGGAAGTAAACACTTTCTCTGTTTCTGTCTGTAGATCTATCCAAGAATCATCTGGCAGAGATCCCCCCAGAGGTCTGTCTCTTTGCCCCACTTGAATCACTCAACCTCTACCACAACTGCATCAAATCCATCCCTGAAGCCATTATCAATCTGCAGATGCTGACTTATCTTGACATCAGGTGAGCCATGAGTTTCTATTATTGCATTCAGTCGAAGTAAGAGCTAATGTTTTGCAGCTTTATGTGTACGTAGAGGTGCTTGTTCTGCTTTTTTGCGCACAAACAAGCCCGCACGAACAGGAGACAATTCCTCTTTTTATGCTGAAACTCAATTCCCAGTACCTCTATGCTCAGTTCTGATATGTAGGTCAATGTTTTATCTTCCTCCACAGCCGAAATCTCCTGTCGGTTCTACCAAAATACCTGTTCAATCTCCCCCTCAAAGTCCTGCTTGTGAGCAACAACAAGCTGGTATCCATCCCTGAAGAGATTGGCAAGGCCAAAGAGTTGATGGAGCTGGTGAGCATTGCGTAGGCATCGGTGCATTTGACCCGATGACGTGATGCACGTTGACAGTTAAGAGTATTTCTGCTTTCCCACATTTTTCCTCCGCTTCCAGGACGTGAGCTGCAACGAGATCCAGGTCCTGCCAGCACAGGTGGGGAGGCTCCAAGCCTTACGTGAACTCAACATCAGGAAGAACTGTCTTCACATGCTGCCCGAGGGTCAGTGATCACTTTGCGATGCTCTGTTGGTGTCTCACCGTGCAGCTCTTACAGAGTTACGGCTGCGTAGTGGGAGCACCGCGTTGTGGATTTTGGCAAGCGTGGCTGACCTTCTTAGAGCCAAAAAACACTTGGCTGGGAGCATTTGTTTTGTGTTTCCTGTCATGTCTGCTGTCTGTTCTCTTTTGCAATCCCTCTTTCAATTTCTAAACTTGATTCATAGTTGTGTGACCAATTAAAAATTTGATTTGTGTGACATAAGTCATAACTCAAGAGGAATGCAACTTGTTAAAATAATTTTACATTTTACGGATGAATGAGCGAGAATCTGATTGAGTGGATAGTAAATCTACTTTCTGACAGAGTTTAGTTGGAAGCCAGCTTGGTTATTTTTATAGGCAGGTTCGCTCATGAAAAGCTGTCAGAAAGTAATTAAAACTGTCATGAAATGGAAAGCACTGTGAAAAGAATGTCATTGGATCAAACGACATCAAACGGGTTTGGCACCTCAGTCCCCGGGACTCCTTTAAAAAACATCCTCCTCGCAGTTTCCCTAGAACCAAGACCAGAATGAACTAAACTGTTACTGGAGTGTTGAAATAGTTTAACTGGATCCCATATTCGTTCGTAACAAAACACAAATTCATTCCCTTTTCATGTATGTCAATTAGTCTAATACTTTAAACATTCCCTGATTTTCTACACCAGGCCCTACATTACAGGAAGTCAAGTTTTATTTTCTTTTTCTACTTCTTACTGTTGAATCAGCTCTAACAAGGATCTACAAGACAGTGTTGTTTCTACAGGGAGTTGAAATGTTAATATTATTGAGAATATGTATATTTAACAAGATCTGGCCACCATCTGTAGGTGCAGTGATGATACGGAAAGTTGATTCCAGCTTCCTGCAACATGTTGAAAGTCTTAGAAATAAATTTGTAATCAAGCATTTTAAAGGTAGAGGCTACAGGACCAAATCCATGCGGTTTGATGTGACTGCAGTTCCACATATTATCCAGAAGTTTAAGGTCAACAGGACTGCAGCCACCCTCCCTGGTAATCGATTTGCTCAGCAGGGGGCCCTATCGACTTTTTTTAAACACCAGCTACATTCAGCAGGCAAGCCTCCTTCTACCAGGTCCATTGTGTTTGTTTTTCCTTGCATTTCCTCTGTCTTTTTTTTATTAATCAAAATAAATTTAGATTGAAGGAATTGTTCTCAGCCACTGCTGACACAGCCGTAAGCAGACTATTATATAAAAACCCATTAAGATCGATCGCAATAAACGCATCTGTTGCCTTTTAAGACCTGCATATCAACCGTTTCCACTGGTTTACTTTGGTGATGCAACCTGAGACGTCGTCAGTGTTGAAATATCTGCATTTGGTGAGACATAAAGATTTTTGAGAACAAACGATTTTACAGCCTGGGCTCTATTAGGTTGTGAAATGCTTTTAAAACGTCTGTGTGGCTTCAGTAATTTCCCATGATGCATCATGGTAAAAGCAACTCAGGCTCCTAAATGCCTTAGAAAAGAGAAATGAGGTTTATTAGGTTGGAGAAAGTTAGAAAATGTCCTCTAAAGAGGGTTAAATCCACCAGGGTTCATATTTAGTCAGAATTTATTTGGATAATTAAGGGTTGTACTTACACTCCTCCACGTTTGTGATTTTTGTTAAACATAAAGACTGTTAAAACTAACCACAACATTCAACTCTAAAGAGGTGGGTTTTTAGTCTAGGCTCAGTTTTTCGGCTGTTTTTCAGTTTTCTGGAAGCTTGTTCCAGGTTTGTGGAGCACAGAAGCTGAATGCTGCTTCTCCATGTTTTGGTTTTGGTTCTGGTGATGCAGAGCAGAACCAGAACCAGAAGATCTGAGAGGTCTGGAAGGTTGCTATTGCAACCTTCCAACTTTAATGTGTTTTGGTGTTTCAGTGACTTATAAACAACAGGATTTTGTTTAGTGAGAGTCAGTGAGAGGATTTTTGAATCCTCTCACTGATTCAAAAATCAGTGAGAGGATTTTTGAATCCTCTCACTGGATTCAAAAATCCAGTGAGATTCAAAAATCTCACTGGATAGGCTGCGGTAGCTGATATAACACAAGGTCTCATCAGACAGAGATGAAGAGAAAAACATCGGTGTCTTTAAGTTGTCAGTCTAGCTCTGAACTTGCAAAAAAAAAATAAACTTGAACTTGAACTTGCAAAAAAAAATAAAAATAAAAATCTCCAGTGAGATTCAAAAATCCAGTGAGATTTTTGAATCCACTGGATTCAAAAATCCAGTGGATTTTTGAATCCAATGGATTCGACGTAGCGAACGTTCTGAAACGTTCGCTACGTTTCAGAACGTAGCGAACTGAAAAGCGGGTTCGCTACGTTCCTGTCACCTCTGTACATTCTGCTGTTTGTGTCAGGGTGTCATTTTTTCCTTTTCAGAGCTGGCAGATCTTCCTCTCATCCGACTTGACTTCTCCTGCAATAAGATCACAGAGATTCCTCCAGCTTTCAGGAAACTCAGGCAGCTGGAGTACATCATCCTGGACAACAATCCTATGCAGTCTCCTCCTGCACAGGTGTGTCATTTCACTCCAGCGTCGTGTTTGTGCTCATGTACGAAGTAAGACGCGCTTATGTTTACCTGTAAACATCTAACAAGAATGAAATGAACCTGATGCAAGAGCACCATCTAGTGGTTGAGAGGAGATCATTCCCTCTGCATTGGGAGCGGCAGGCTCACAGTGAGCTGAGTTGAGTTTTGGATTTTCTGCGTTTCAGATTTGCCTTAAGGGCAAAGTGCACATCTTCAAGTACTTGAACATCCAGGCTTGTAGGACGGACAAGAAGCCAGACACCCTGGACCTCCCGACGCTCAGCAAACGATGTCTTCCACAGCCCCTCACTGACAGGCAACAACAGATTCATCATTATGTTGTATTATATGTATCCAAACCTAATTAGTAGTTTATTCTTTTAACATTTTCAATCTGTTTTGTGTATTTCCAGCATGGAAGATTTTTATCCCAGTAAGAATCATGGGCCTGACTCTGGAATTGGTAGTGACAATGGTGACAAGAGGCTGTCTACTACAGAGGTCAGAGTTCAAACACATTGATGGGCGATGGTCGTGGTTATTATAAGATAAAAACAGGAGTCTCAAACAGCCTTAAGTTTCTTTCTATTTTTTAAGAATCAAAAATAAATTCACATACCAATTTTCCTCCTTGTAGGAAATCTTGAAAATCTTTTCTCATTGTCCTTTAACTTAATAATGCACAACTTCATTGATCTATCACATAAAATCCCAATAAAATACGTTGAACTTTGTGGCTGGAACATGACAAAATGTGGGAAAAGTGCAATGCACATTTTGCAAGGCACTTTAGGACTACAGTGTTTTACTCTGATGTCAAAGGTTTGTTGTTCTCACTTGGTTTGTTGTTTTCATGGTTACAATAATTAACGGAAAAACCCCTAGGCTGCGGTAGCTGATATAACACAAGGTCTCATCAGACAGAGATGAAGAGAAAAACATCGGTGTCTTTAAGTTGTCAGTCTAGCTCTGAACTTGCAAAAATAAAACCACCAGGCACAGAAATATTGAAGCAAAAAAATGGAAGGTGGTAATTAAAATGAACCACCAGAGGGTAAAAAGGAAATAATAGAGACGTCAAACGTCAGTTGCACAACATGCACCGTTAAAATCAGAAGTTTACATGCATTATATGAAAAGACATCTGCGTTTTTTTGACGCTGTCTGACATGAAATCAGATAAAATGCTTCCTGTTTTTGATAATTTAGGATTACCAAGGATTACAATAATGAGAAGGCAATTTTTTTATTACTTTCTTCAAGATCAAACATTTAAATACACTCTAAAAAATCCCAGAGAGGAACATTCATTGGTCCCAAATGAGCTTATCAACCCAAAAACTAAAACTAAAGACCTGGTGAAGACTCTGGCTGAAGATGATAAGAATGTGTAATTATCCTCAGTGAAACGAGTCCCGTCCTTCTGCCAGGAAGGAGCCATTACTTCAAAATAAACATAAAAAAGGAACAGATTCATGTTTGAAAATGCACACAGGGACAAAGACCGTCATTTCTGGACAGACAGGAAGTAAAGGCTTGGGTGCAAATGTGTTTTCCAAATGGACAACGACCCAAAGCAAACAGCCAAACTAGTTACAAAGTGGCACAAAGGTTACAAAGTCAGTGTTATGGAGCAGACATCACAAAGCCCTGATCTCAGTCCTAATGAAAAATTATGTGCAAAGCTGAAAAGTCGTGTGCGACTCGAGCAAGGCAGCCTACCAACATGGCCGACACCAGTTCTGTCAGGAGGAATGGGCCAAAATTCCTGCCAACTATTGTGAGAAGCTATTTGGAGAAAATATTCCAAATCATACAGTTTAAGGGCAAAGATACCAAATACTAAGCAAGTTTGTTTGCATTTTGACTTTGAAGAAAGTAATAAAAATTGCCTTACAAATTCTCTCATTACTCTGGGATTTAGCAAATAGAAAAACAATATTGGTAATTCAGCTAAACCTGGAAAACTTCATTGATTTCACATCAGTTAGTGTGGAAAAAAATGCATATGTGTCTTTGTATGTCGTGTCAGCAAACGCCAGGTTTCAACGGTGTATGACTACAACGCTGCGTGGAGAAACGGCAGATGGCAGCGGAAAATATTTACTGGAATAATAAAATGAATCAGAGCAGACAGGAGAGATTGTGGAGGGAATCAAACCACATGTAACCCACCTGTTGGTAATGTCTCAGTTTGTGCCTCGGAGCGCAGGAACTGCAACATGTCAAAGGCAGCGTAGCACAGACGTCTGTTAGTGATTGATGGAGGTTAAGACAAATAAATACGTTATATATAGAAAGTAAAAGGAATCTTTACGTTGTGTCATTTCCACGCTAACGCATGTTCTGTATTGCATCGCCAGCAACAAAAACGTCATTTCTAATGAGGCTGTTTTTGTTTCTGAATGTCGTCCGCAGCCCTCAGACGACGACACCGTCAGCCTCCACTCACAGGTCTCAGAGACGGCCCGCGCCGACGCTCTGTCCCTGCTCTCCAAAATGGACTCCTGCAAAGGTTACCCAAAATAAGTATCACACATTCCCTTTGACAGCAATAGCAGAGACACATGGGGGTTGTAGAATGAAGTGCCTAAAATGTGACAGTTGTGTGACGAACGCGGATGCTTCCTCCCTCTATCAGATCAGGATCTGTATGACTTTATAGAGCCCAACCCCGACGAGGATCCTGCTCTGTTAGAGAATGACGGGCAGCAAAGCAGCCATGTGTCTTGTATAAAGGTACCGCTGTCTGTTTGTGTTTTCTTCGAGATCTTAAAAAAAAAAGAAAGAAATCGAGAAGTTTTGCTGTCCGGACCCTCATGCAGTGTTGCTTTGGGTGTGTTTCAGGAGCTGGAGAAAGTTTTAAACATGTCCCAACAATGTAAAGATAAAGACAGCTGGAAGGAGGAGTCCGGGTGAGTTTGATCCCTCAACTCTCTTATTCAGCAAATGAGCACGCACCGCTTTTACGTGAAAACTGCTGGGGCTCGCTGGAAACAACAAATGCCTAAAACGTCAGTGACTCACTGCCTGTGGATGCAGGCTTACAGGACGGCACAACATCTGTTCTTTTTTTTAAATCTTTATTACTCATTGAAACTTCACATAAAGTGATGGCAAGAAGAAAAAAATACATGTACAAAGAAAAAATAGCTGTGGCCTGAATTGTTTTAGTCATCCTGAGTCAGAACTCATTTCAGTTACATATGCAAGCCTTTTGGGGTATGGCTACCAAACCTTTCCACATTTTCCCATACCTTTCCATGCAAATTAGTGCATACTTGGTCATACTTGAAATTCAGCATCTGTGTGTAAAGTTTGGCTGCTTAGACTTTAATCTAAACTTTAACACTACACCTACAGCTGCAGGAGTATTTACCAGGGTTTCAGCTTCTGTGCTCTCTAGCCTTGTTTTTCGTATCCATGTTCCTAATATTTCCCAACAAACCTCTAAATCCTTCACAAACCAGCTGCATTCATACTGCGATGAACTGCAGCAGCGTTGGATTTTATTCTTTATTTAGCCTAGGAAATGTAGATAAAATAAACTTTTCTCATTTTTAGTACTCTTCTCATAATATTTAAAACCACTAAACAACTTCCTGTTGGTCTGCTTCTCAGAATCCCAATAAAATTCTTGAAAGTTTGTGATCATTACATAACGACAGTGAAAAAGTTAACTGATTTAGCAAAGCACTACGAATTGTAGCACCATTACAAAGAAAAAAAAAAAAACCCAGCATGTACAGATGCTGTGCAGCTGTTGTTTTGACATGCTGTAAACATTAGTGACTTATATAAAGAACTCTGAATCTGGAGTTTGATTCTGTTCTTTCCTGTTTTGATAAAAGTCAGATAGCTTTGTCCATGTAAACAATATGAACAGAGGGCTACAGGAGCTGAAACAGGCAAAGGACTGCAGGGAAGTTATTAAGCCCAACCTGATGAAAGGAAGCAGCAGATCAGAAAGGACTAAACATAAGTTTACTCACATGATATCTAAATGTCAAAACCTCTTAGAGCCTTACAAAGGAGACGAATTATGCTCTTCTGTTATTCCAAGATCTACAAGAAGTCGGGCAAAGGACGAAACTCTGGATAGACGCTGTATGTTGAATCTAAACAACACATGGCCAAATGCTTGCAGAGCAAAACTGGGAGTGTTCCAGTGAAACACTGGAGTGTGATCCGGCCATTGCATCCAGGTCACTGGCCAAAACAGAAGCACATGCAGACTTCATTAGGAAATTCATTTACATAAACTGGTTTTAAAGCATCCAAAAGACACAATTTTTTTTTTTTTTACAAAAATCAAGTCATCGTCATGTGTTGTGTCTGCAAAGTATTCCATGGCAGAAAGCAGGAAAAATAAACAATGTGTTGGCTGAAGTTCAGAAAACGATATTAAAAACAGAAATAAATTGTTTGAACTTGAACTTAAGCTTTGAATCAGCGTGCTGGCCTGAGTTGGGATGCGTTGGGATGTTTGCGTTCGTGCACACGACAGAGGGACTTCAGGTCCAGTTACCTTTCTGGGAGGGCCTTTTAAATTAAAGTAAGAAAAAGAAACGTGAAACCGCTTTCTGCACGTTGCAGCACGACCTCTGCTAAGGGTTCAGATCCAGGACAAACCCATTACATTTGGCAGAAAATGCTTCTAATGGTGCATCATCAGTGATCAACTGGTGAGCAGCCAGTTATTGTTAATTTTACAGAAATCATATTGTTTTCAAAACTACTTAGCAGATTGTCTTTATGTTTTCATGCTAAAAGTTTATCATGCAACATTTTCAATATTTATTGCGACTATAAAAGGTGTCAATCTTGCAGGTGAAAAATTACGTAAGACCCAACCATTTCGTGCAAATTCATTTATTCACGTGGGGAAAAAAACGCTCCTGTTGAGCAACACTGGCTTGTTATAGAGTCACTGGAGCCAGAAGTGTTGGCAGAACTGCTGCTGATACTTTGTTCAATTTCCATTGATATTTTCATTTCTGAGTGGTGCATCTCTTGTCCTCTGACTTTGGCTCTAATCAGTGAGACTGGAACCAAAATACAGTTAAAATATGCACGCTTAAAAACATTTAATCAAGACTTTAAGTCGGACTAAATGTTTCCTGTTTTAGACCAGTCACTAGAATAAAAATAATATTAGAAAATTGAAAGGGAGAACTTTACAGCACTCCTCAGATTCAGAACTTTACATATGTAGAGAAGAGAATGCCTGGGTAGCGTCAGCACATGTTATAATCTCATTAAATCTAATTATATTTGATAACTCTCAAATCTATCACAAGTTTGTCTTTCTGAAGGGAACAGTTTCTTTGTGTGGGAGCCTAAACTGTGCACTTCATGAAAGGAATGAGAGGAAACTACTATGACGATATTAACTCTCAATTCAGTGATTATATTGGATCTAATCGCTAAAAGAATTAGCAATTAAACTATTAGTCACACCAAGAATGCTGGAGAAGGATTGTTTACGTTTTATTTAGCTAATACAGTTTTAACCTTATCAAAAAAATCTCTGTCTGAATTAGCTTTGGCAAAGGTTTTCAAAACAATTCGCCTGGGGAGGAGGGCCTCCGTGGTCTCGACACGGGCGTTGAAGGATTTGATCATTAGGCAGTTCCTCTTTTTGAGAACCTAGTTGGACGTAATCCAGAAACAGTCCTTCTGTGAATAAAAACACCCAGCTGCATTGAAGACAAGAGGGTCAAACTCGCTTGTTAACTCAGCTGGGCGTACTTCCCGGTTGGTGCGTCTCATCTGGACAGAGCCAAAATGTCCATCCCTGTTTCTCTCTTCACTATCTCACGTTCCTCTCCGCTGCACTCAGACTCAACTTCCAGAAGTCAGAGAGAGTTTGTGACACATCTGCCTTTGATAACCGTGAGGAACAACTGAGCGCATTTTGTTTCAGAGATCGTGTGTTTACGGTTTGAGAGGACAGGTGCTTCTCAACACACAAGATAAGAAAACCAATCTGGAGACAGAGTAGTCCTTCATGAAGAGCTTAACTCTTGTATTCACATGCTTTTTAATTCTAGTGAAAAGGTGTTAAAGAATTTATTATGACAACTTTATAATCTTTGCAATCTCAAGAGTCTATCAAACCTCGGAGGCATTCGCAGAACAGTTGGATTCAAACTGAGATAAACCAAACACAGACGGTCCCTGTAAGCTCTTTGAAAAGGGTTTTAGTTCAGTGTTTTCTGCCCCTGTCAGTGTTGGGAGGAGTTTATATCTCAAGGCATCGGCCAGAAATTCAAAGCTCAGGCAAAGATGGGTCTTTCAAATTGACAATAACTCCAAAAATACAGCCATGTTAGCTGCAAAGTGGTTTATGGAGTGACCATCACAAATCTCAAGATCTCACCTAGAAAACTAGTGTCACAACAAATGTCTTCTCTGAGCAGTCGACCGATGCGAAAGGGAAGTTTCTGCCTCCACTTTGGCTGGGAAAATGGTTTTCCACTTGACCTTGTTGGATCAGGGAGAGTTCCTCTGTGTCACTCAAAGTTTGATTTGCAGATTGAATTAACTCCGGTAGTTTTCTGGTGTTATTTTCAAAGTTGTGGACAGAAGCGATATTTTGGATTTTTCAGCATTCAAAAGCAAATTTAGATGCTCAAGATGAATCCACACTGCGTCAAAAGCGACATGTAGAAACTGAAATGCTTGTGCAATCGAGCTGACAACATGAAAGTGGAGGGAGGGATTTTTATTGCATTTTCATTTGTTTAGATATGGCTTAAAGCAAGACAACCTTGCTTTCTTTATACTTTGGCCCTTTGTCTGCTGCACTAGGGTTGGAGTAATGGGAATAAACAGAACCAGGCAAGTGTAACTACACATTGTTTTTTAAAACATGTTTATTCTTGCTCTCTCTTGATGTTTATATATCCTGCAGTAGTTTCAGACGCATGAACGTTTACTCAAATAAACTTGAATAAAACCCAGATTATAAGGATAAACGCTTACAATCCCAGTTCTCTAGTGGCCTTGACGGTGTCTTCTCATTTGATCGTCTGGTTCAGATATAGATTGCGCGCTCCAGCTTCTGCAGCTGCCAGTTTAATTTAATGTGGCGGTTTGGCTTCCTTTATGTACACACAACCCCACGTATTGCTGATATTAACAAATGCAACCTGCAGCGAGGCAGTCATGTGAAGTCCTCCTGACTTACGAAACCGTACATTAGATGGCTAAACGCAGAATGAGTTAATTTAATAATTCAGGCCCAGAATTGCGTGTTTTTAAAGTTTGCAATACAGATTTTAATGTAAACTCGAAGCTCGTCTCCTCACAGTTCTGATAAGGACCAGCTTGCTGAGGAAGAGGATGATGAGCTGAAAGAAGTGCTGGATCTGAGGAAGATCGCTGTGCAGCTTCTGCAGCAGGAACAGCAGAACAGGTGGGTGGGAGTCGCCGTGACGACACACATGGCAGATCTTCATCGTTTTTTTGTAAACCTACATTTCTACTCTCTTCCTTGCTCCTCGCTCTACTTTATGTTGCAAGCAGGTGCGTATAGATGAGGTTGAGGTTGTAGCACAAAGGTGATAAAGAATATTCTTCTCTCTTGAACCTTTTAAAGGGGCAGTATTGTGAGTTTTCCAGGCTCATAGTGCCTTTATATGGCATAATCAAGTAACTATGTTTCCTTCATTTGTTATCAAAATGTTATATAAGTTTTACTTCCTGATTTAACGCCCTCAAATTAGGCCTCTGTCTCTTTAAAAACTCCTGCTCTTTCAGAAACTCAGATTTTTAGTGAAAGTTAGAGTTAACAGGAGGATGGATGGAGCTAAACGTTAGAAGCGTCAAAATAATTCAGGGAAAATCTCTAAACACGCTCACAGAAATACAGGTGAAAAGTATAATAATGTGACTTGAACATTTGTGTGTACAGACTATCCATTCTGACTGAACGTCTGTTATTTAACAAAAACAAAATAAATCTCAGAGTTCAGATGTTTGCAGAGGTACCGCCTAAGAATATTCAAAACAATGTTTCACATCTGTTTCATGCAAAGAAATGTATTTATTTCTATTGCTCTATCACAAGAAATAACTTTTAAGAAATCCATTAAAGTGTGCTTGTATCAAGCCAAAGTGTTTTGGTGTCATTCTGTCTCTGATCACTCTGGCCGATATTTCCCCTCGTTTCCCCAAACATTGCTGCATCATTTCTATCTCTTTCGTTTGTCTCCTCTCTTCCTACTTCTGATGTTCCTCTACTTCTCTCTTCCTTCTGCTTCGGCTTGTTTGATGTCTTAGACGACGGTCCTTAATTTGCAGAGCAGAGAGTTTGATCCACCGGCGGAGGGTGACTGGCAGGGCACACAGGTACGCAGGTTATTCCCTCTTAATCGTTCACAGCCGGCTTGCATGTCACTCTTGCCAAGGAGTGTCTCCTCGCGGCGGTTGTATCTGAATTGTTGTGATGTGAATCAGTGCCATTGTTAAAAGAAACATTACACAAAGGTGGCATTATCACTTTCACTCTTTAGGTGCTGTCCCATGTTGCTCAAGTTTCCAGCGAATATCCGGCAGTGTGTATTTTAAGCCATTTGGAAAAGCATTGTGTCATTGCCAATGAATTACCGGAGTTGCATCGTTTCATAAGAGCACGGCTGTTTTACCAGTTTACTTGCGAAGTAAACTAGCATAAGTTTAAGTATGCATGTGCTTGTTTTTCTTTGCAGGTTTCTGAGTCACTCAGGGAGCTCCAGCAGCAAACCGAGGCCCCCACCTCAGGCTGCTCGAAGGTACGAGTCACAGTCGGCCAGAAAAGCCACAAATCCACCGCGTGAAGTTTACTCATCTTAAAGGGAAGCGGCTGATTTTATCCAACCAAAAACAGATAAAAATGAATAAAATATTACAAGAAAAGACAAAATAAATGCAGGATCGAAGCTGAAATTGTCTCAGATTTGATTCAAGGCTGATCGCACAACTAATCAGCACAATGTTGATGTTTTAATTTCTTATCAAAGCCTCGATCAGGTTAATCTGTTACGCCTCCTGTGATGTTTTCTATTCTGTTGGATGAGTGAAAAGGTTTTTGTTTAATGTTATTCGTACTGTTTTTTTCAGCGCCTCTCTGGATGAAGGAAGTAGCGGCGCTTCAGTGCTGAGTGGGCAGGTACAGAGAGATCTTACGCACAATTATACCAAAATTCACGCACTTCTGTCTGTTTTGGTCCGACAGCGGGAGAGATTTAAATGTTAACTTTGTGTGTTTCAGCCTTCCTCCTCCTGCTCCTTTGATGGGAGCTTGAAATCAGAACAGTCAGACTGCGATCCAAAGTGGCCCGAAGTTCCTCCCGTCCTCAACCAGAACGAAGACCGCAGGCGGAACAAGTACCTGAGGAAGGACTACCTGAAGGTGTGGCCATGCAACAGCATCCAGTTACCTACACCTGTCTTTACAAGGCTGGCTGAATCTTCCTAGTATTTTGTCATGGTCGTGTGATTTCAGTCACTGTGCTTAATTAATTAACGTGCATCTTCTCAACAGCACGCTGTCATGTAGTAGTTACAGCATCTCTTCCCATCTAGTAACAAAAGCATGCAAAGATGTCACATATTAGATTATTTTTGTGTACTAGCGGAATATCACATGGACAATTTTAGGAAAAGCCAACCTTTAGCTTGAATATTTAGTATTTATTTAAAAACTGCAATCTCTGGAGAGTGATGTTTATGTTTTCTGCCAATCGGAGTTGGAAAAAGGATTTGTATTTACAGTTTTTATTCCCTCTCATTGTATAAAAGTCACGTGACCCTCCTCCTGTTTTTTCTATCCTCCATTATCCCTTTACACTTTTCCTTCCTTCATTCCTTCCTTTATTTATTTTCTTAATTGCTTTTTTCATCGTGACTTTATTTCCTCTCTTGTGTCCTTTGTTCTCTCTCTTCATTCCTTCTTTCATTTTTTTCTTTAACGCTTCCATTCCCATTTCTTTCTACTTTTTTCTTGATTTCTTCCTCTCTAATGTTTTATTTTATTTCCCTGTGTTCTTGTTTTATTATTTCCTAGAAATATAAAAAAATGGCCCTTCTAAGTGTTTCTGCAGCACAGTGACCAAAGCACATGTCCAAATCAACACAGAAATATTACACCAGAATCAAAGTCAACCTTATCAGTGTATTTCCAAGAGTGGAAAGGAGATCAAAAGAAAATATTGGATCTAAAAACATTGTGCAAAGACAAATAGTTGTGGGATTTTTTTTACTTTACCAGATAAATGTCCTCATATTAAAGGTCGTAATTTTCTACTGTGGGAAATGATGTTACTGCAATAAAACGTATTACGTGTCTCCTCCTGTGCATATCAAATAGAGTTGTGGTAAAAAAGAAAATAAAAAACTAATCATAAAAATGTTTTGTTTTTCCTGACAGTACAAGTGTCAGAGCGCTCGTAAAAATTCCAGCGGTAATGAAGACTGTGAGGTGGGTTTGGTTGTCTGGTGTGTGCACATCCCCCCTAAAGCTTATCTATTCTGAGTCCAACTAACGTCTGTGTCCTTAGGAGGGTTTGCGCAACGCTGATTTCAGCACCACGTTGACAGTGTTTGGACTCAAACCAAGATCAGGTAATATAAAAGCGCTAAGCTCCTGCTGTGTTTAGCTTTTGCCTCAATTTTCCTTCTTTTTCTGTTTTTACTGCACTTGCAACTTGCAATTATATTGAATTATATAATTATAATTCAATTATAAACCCAACAGGGAGGGGGGAGTTTGCGTACTAGATGATGAATCTCTTGTCATGCAAATATAACAATAGCAGCTCATAGGTTCCAGATTGTAGGAACCATAAACATCTGCGTATTTTATTAAAATCTTATGTGACAGACCAACACAAGGTAGTACCTAATTGTGAAGTTGAAGGGTTTTTGAAAATACAAATCTTCAAAGTGTGGTGTGCACTTCTATTCAGGTATATTCCCATATATAAAATTATGTGCAACCTTCAAAAGCCGTCATTACCTGCTGCTTTCGGTTTTGCAGGTTTTGTGACTACTTGCCAAATTAATGACGCCTGTGTTTCCTCTTCAGCTTTGTCTGAAGACTTGTTGTATCTTTATATTATCTGCAAATATTCTAACTATGACAACAGCAAACCAAGCGAGAACAACCGTCCTTTGTAACCGAAGAAAAAACATTTTAGTCCCAAAGTGTCTGTCAAAACAATGCATTCCCCTTTCTCACATTTTGTCATCTTCTAGCCACAAAGTTCAAAGTATTTTACTGGAATTTTATTTGATATACCAACAAAGTATTGCATAATTATGAAGTGAATGGAAACATTTTTTTCAAAAGTGTCTACAAAAAGAAAATCTGAAAATGTGTATTTGTATTTACCTCCATTCTGTGTATAAGAATTGTTCTAAGTCCAAAGCTTCTCTTGAAAATTGGTGTCCAGTCTGACTGAGCTTGAGCTATTTTGCAAAGAGCAGCGTGCAAAATCTTGTCTCTGAATATGTAAATCTAAAAACAAAAAAGTGCACAAAGTAGATTTACGTGGTTGAACTGAATTTTATTTAATGTCTGACACAGATGCAGACACTTTCCACATGTTGAAATTTTTGAAAACTGTAACTGTCAGTTACAATTTATTTTGGTATAAAACAATAAATAAATAAATCCAATGAAATAGTTTGTGGCTCTGACATGACATTTGAATTTATGGGGTATGAATTTTGTAATAAATCATACCCCGCAAAGATTAATGGGAAATGTAAAAGCAAACAGTTTTAGTTATCATCTGTAGAGATCAACGTTTGAACAATAAGTGCAGAGTGAAAGTGTCGAAGCACAGACTCTGGTTTATTTCATTGGTACCTGAAGCAAAAATGAGGCGGCATTTCTCTGGAAGTGGGAAGGGTTTTCTGTGGAATTTTTTTATTTTATTTTGCTCCTTCTCTCAATATCAGATTACAAATACATCATATCTTTACTGCTTTTGTGAGTCATACAGTAGTTCAAGTGCATTAGCAAGTATTTGTTCCTCTTATTTGTACAAGCAGACATGTTACCACAGAAAAGCTTCAAAAACTCTTAAATCACAACACAAACCTCTGCAAACAACCACAGCTGACATCCAAACTTGAAGTGGTGACAAGTTAATTCGGTTACAACATTTAGTTTGTTTATGCTATGAAACTGTTTAATGTGTTTACAAATGGGGTCCAACCGACTCCACACACGCAAAACTTGTATAATTTGCCACAGTCCTCCACGCAAAAGGGTTAAAGTCACAGTATTTAGGTGAATGTTTTGAAAAGCGGCACTTCCTGTCTGTCCCAAAACAGACAGGAAGTATTTATTTTGGAGCTCATGAGCTCTTTAAACTGTCATCAGAGAATCGCGCTCCAACCGATTAATGTGTGATCCGGTTCTACTTCAGTTGTGAGCTTCTCCATTACGGTCTGTTCCTCTGTACTGTGCCTGTGCCTTTGGGATCACGTAGCATTTCCGTACGACTCTCCGATGATGTTTGCAGCAACACTCACCAAGTAAGAACCTAGAGGTTCAAATGAACCCAGATATTTCATTTTGTCTTATTACTGGCCCAAACATAATGAAAAAAAAATTCAGATCAGCTGATTATTTTGCTACACATCTATCTATCTATCTATCTATCTATCTATCTATCTATCTATCTATCTATCTATCTATCTATCTATCTATCTATCTATATATCTATCTATCTATCTATCTATCTATCTATCTATCTATCTATCTATCTATCTATCTA